TGTGATTCAATTTACCATTCAATATGAGAAATTGAAAAGGCGACACAATTGATTCAATATTTATGCACCTTTAATGGTTCATAATCTCTTTCAATTCTCTTTCTAATCTTGAATCCTATAAATAAGCTTGATTTTTCATTATTTTATGTACAAGTATTTTGTTGAGATTGAAAGATTAATTAGAGTCATTATCTCTTGTATTCATTTTATTTTATATTGAATTTATTTTTTTATCATCTTTCTCTTCAATTCAACCATCGTTGCCATTTCTTTTATAACATTAAAAACTTATTAATACTTTATTTTTCCCTTCGAAACTTGTTTTTTTTTTTTTTTTTTGCCTTTCTAAATTTTTTTTTAGTTATTTATTTCCGAACATTTAGTAGGAAAGAAATAAGTTATGAAGAGAAAATAAAAACACTCATTAGTTTTTATATTTTTTTAGATACTGAATAATTGCATTTATATATTAAATTTTGATGAAAATTTAAGAAAATTACCTAATTTTAAATAAATAAAAAATTAAAAAAAGGTCCAATGCAAGAAACCATATGGTATGTACCATTTAGGCTTACTTCACCTAGTTATGATAAGCTACACTTTCAAAACGTCGCTTTACGCGGGTTGTTAGCTTATTCTCAAATTATTATGATTTGAAAAAAAGAAAATTACGAATGGGTGACGATGTTGCTCCATCAAGTGATAACAACCCTCAAAAGAAGCTCTAAGTTCAATTCCATAAGGATTTGGAGGCAAGTGTGTCTCGCGTTTTATAAATTTGTTGGAATAATTACTTTATGCCTAAACCAATTTTTTATGTTTTTTCAATATGAATATATGAATTTTAATTTTTTTTAGCATATCATTTTTTTCAAAACTATTAATTGAATTATTTTTCATTCAATTTTTTCATTATTTAATAATGTTTTTTTTTTTGTCATAAGACATTAAATTACGGTTTTGATTTTTTTATTTTTTATAGAACTTTTCTTCCTATATTATTTTGTACTCTTCTATTTTTTAATTTTTTTATAAGAAAAATTTGTTTATTTACAAAAAAAAATGAAAAATAACAAAGTAAAGTGATAAATTCATAATTTAATAATTTAAAACGTCATTAAATAAAGGTATGTACGTGTAGTGCTAGCGTGCGGGTTTTAAAAGTACAAAGGTTTCTTCAATGCCCAGATCTTACACTGAATGCAAATAAGGAAGAGAACTCAGCAGCCAACTACTAAAAAATTGGGATGAATTAACAAGTTATTGATTTAATGATAAAGAAATTAATTTTTATATAATTTTTTTTTATCTAAAGTATAAAGTTATCTTAAAATCATATTTCCCAGGAAGAGTTAATTTTTTTTTTTTTTTTTAAATAATAACCTGGATGGAGCTTTTAGTCTGCGTGAGAATAAAGGCTTGTCCGTGGCGAATACTTGAAGGGAAGGGGGAGGGCAGTAGCTCCCTGGTTTTGAATAACGTTATAGCTTGGTCCATACACTCTTAAAAGTTGCAATTTTATTCCCAGTGTTAAACAAATTTATTTAATTAGACAACTTCGTGTAAATAACAGAATTGTATATTGTTCTTTGGTTTCTAATAATGAAATCTATGTGCATTTATGAGGTAAAACCCTTTAAATTTTTGACAAGTCAATATATGTGTTTATACGGTCAAATTCTTAAATTATTCGATAAGTCACTGTATAGGATGTAAGAAAAAAATGTTTTAAATCAAACACTTCTATACAAATGTTAAAAAAAGAGTATGCTCATGCAAAATATTTGTTTGAATTGAATATAAAAAAATCTATTTGTTTAACTTATATATGCACGTGGTTTACAATAAAAATGAATAATTTATAGATAAATAGTATTTATAAACAATGCCATAAATAATATCATATTTCTGAAAGATTTTGATCATTATCTGCCATTGGTTCTATTTTACCTGATTCTGTTGAGCTTATGATGGTGAATGAATTTACTAGTTTTTTTATGATTGGATATACAAGAACTACATATATAATTCTTCTGAGAATTATAAAATGAAATGAAAGTTCTTTTCTTATTTTTGTGACCAATAATGAGAATCAAGATGCCACTACTTAAATGCAAGAATCACATAAAAACATTTAATTTGATCCAAATTATTTTATTTTCATTTAATAATTCTTAGCTGCATAGCGTTATATTGAATTATGATGAATAATACGAAAAAAAAAGCCCTATTCTATTCGGTATGATCATGGTAAGGTTCGACTAAAAGAGGGAGTGGGGTGTCAAAAAAATAAAATAAAAAATCATTGAGATGAATTCCAAAAAGAGTAAACCCAGAAGGACTAATATATATATATATATATATATATTCTCAAGGGGTAAAAAAAGTTAATTTTTTTGACAAGTTATATAGTATGAATGTATGCACCTGCTGCCAAATTACTAGTTTTATCGAGAAAAAAAAAAAAGAAGAAAAAGCTAAATGAATCAAATCTCTTCTATGTTTTAATCTATTTGAAAATTAGTTTCTAATCTTTTAATTTCAGGTTTTACTTCCTCAAATTTTATGTATTTATTTTTATATTTAGTCTATACTCTAGTTTTTTTATTATAAAATATAGCAATCACATGAATAGTGACATAAATAGTTACATGATAAAAATAATTCAATAAGATTTAACTGGAGCTCTTCAATAAAATTGGGACCATTTCGGATTTTTTTTTTAATTTTTTATATTTTTAATGATAAAGAAAATAAAAATTATATACTTTTCAACCTTGAAAATTTAAAAACAAAATTTCAAAAATTGTATTGCATGTTTTCTAATGTGTGTGCAAAACTTGGGTAATTATGCTTTGGCTGTGCTTTAAATTATCATTTTTTAAAGTTTTTTTATTAAAAAAATAACTTATACAATTTTTTTTATTTTTTATACCATTAATATGGAGCCTCTTGCTGAAAAAAATAACACGGGCTCCCCCTGGCTTAAGTATTAATGGCATTGACTAATGAAACTAGTCACAAGCAGTGAAGGATCGATTACCATTGACTAATAAACTGGTCGCAAGTAGTGACGGATGATTACGAGGCACAATATATATATATATGAGAGAGAGAGAGAGATAGAGAGAGTTGTATTTAAGAATTCTATAAAAACATAGAGGTGAGTTTATGACTTTTTCCGATATTTGGTTAGCATTTCCAAAAAAACAAACGATATAAGTGGATTTTTTTACAAGTTAGATGGTATGAATGTACATATACACCTGTCAAAATTACTAGTTTTATTTAAAAAAAAAAATAGAGAAAAAGAGAGAGATTTTGTAATTTAAGAGAAGTAAATCACCTTCTTTATTTGTGAATATTAAAACATAGTAAGTACATCAAGCTTTCAATAACTTTACGACAAAAGAGAACTTTATGGAAAACTCAAAATTTCAAGGGCTTTAAATTGAAAATTTTCAAAACTTTGGGGGCATTATGACCCCTAAGCAAAGGATGGTTGGGCCCCTAGTTGTGTTTTAAATTACGATAGTTTTTAACTGTTTTTTATTTAAAAAATAATTTATACAATTTCTAATTTTTACATGCGATTTGATTTGGGGCTTCTTATTTAAAATATAGCACGAACTCTCACTGACTCAAATATTGATGGCATTAACTAGTGTAAGTAGATACAAGCAGTAGAGAGCCGGTTGCAAGGCGCGCACATTTATTTATTTTCACGAATGTAATTAATAATCCTAGAAAAACATAAAGGTGAGTTTCTAAGTTTTTTTTTTCTATTAAAAAAAGTTATAAGTTAATTTTTTGACAAGTTATATAGTATGAACGTATGCACCTGTCAAAATTACTAGTTTTATTAAAAAAAAAAAAACTAAATTGATCAAACTTTTTCTATACTTTAATTAATTCTAAAATTTTAATTTCGCATTTAATCTCTCCTAAATTTTATTTATCTATTTTTATATTTAGTTCATACTTTAGTTTTCTATAAAAAAATAATAACCACATAAATAGTCTTATGATAAAAATCGTTAGTAAGATTTATGTAAAATTCTTCAGAAAATTGTAACCATTTTGGGTTGTTTTTTATTTTTTATTTTTAATGTTAAGAAAAGAAATTATACTTTCTAATCTTGAAAAATCATGTAACCTTTTCCAGAAATTATATTGAATATTTTTTAAAGCATGTGCAAAACTTTAACTCAAAATACCAATATTTGAAATTTCTAGAGAGGATGATAGCTAGGAATAGACTAGATCTTAACAAAAAAAAGTTTAAGAAAGATCAAATTAAAAATTAAAAAATTAAAAATTGATTTTTTAATAAATTAAAATTTTTAAAAAATATCAAATCCAAAATTAGAAAAGTTATTGACGGGTATTCTACCATTATTTTATATACGAGATGAGTAAGGAACAAAGAATTGACATAGGCAAGTCATGAATTGGATTCACAGTGGCAAAAGAAAAATCTCTCTATTCTTTTTGTGAAACATAACTACCTCTCCTGCCAACCCTTTTTTTTTTTTTTCCCAATAATCCTGCATGCCAACCTTAAAATGGAAAGAAAAAACAAAATCAAGGGTAATGTAAGAAGGGTAGTAATGTAATTTAGATTATAATGGTATTTCACGTAGTTTTCGTATAAACTAGGCCCAATAACTTAACAAATCCTCTATAAATAAAGCATAACCCCACCACCAATTCATTCTCTCTTCTCCTCCTTTCTAAAATCCCTCTGTCTCTATTTCCTCTCTCTCCTCTCTCTCTATGTATAAAGAGATAAATTAGTGGCGAGAAGCCAGATTCTGGCTACTGCCTCTCTGATCCTGTTTCCATTCTTTTTTTTTTTTTTTTGGCCTTTTCGTATTTTTACCTCTTTTCATTTTTTTAACTCCGGTGGGGCCCATCATCGTTTTACTGTTTTTTAACCAAAACGCTCTTCAAAAGAAGTTACTACTGCTGCTGACGTGGCATGCATCAAAACGACAAGAATGAATACCAAAACGATGCGTCTCCCACCACGTCGCGTTTTGACACCAAGCAAGCGCAAAGAGAGAGAGGGTCCTGATACTCTCAAACCGTCGACCCCAACAAAATTAACCAAGCCGACTCCATCTCAAGCCGGCTCGGACAAAGTCCTGGATTCGGCTTCATCTAATCAGCTCCTAGCCGGCTATTTAGCCCACGAGTACCTCACCAAGGGCACCTTTTTCGGACAACCTTGGGACCCGGCTCGAGCGGAGGCGGTCCCAGTATCGTCTGGTGTGGATCCAATCCCGGACAAGCCGAGCCATGGAGCAGAATCCGAGTCGACTGGGAAAGCCGAGCCGAATAAAGAAAATTATCAGAGGTACGTGGAGGTATCACGCTTGTTGAAGATAGATGGGCCTAACTTACCTGATATTATCAACCCTACCCAGCTCGCTCGGTTACTACAGTTGTAAGCATGTGAGTAACGTCTCTCCAACACGTGGAGCAGCAAACCCATTTGCTGAACCCAAACACAAGAAAAATATCATTTTAGACCCGGGACGAAATTGGAGATTCTCAAGGTAGAGGAGGTGGTGGTGGGCTACCGCTGGCGACAGTGGTGAAAAATAGAGATTCAGAGCTGGCGATGGCGGTGAAGAGAGAGAGAGAGAGAGATTTAATTTAAATTAATTTCTGTTGGTGATGAGATAGAACTGGGTCACATTTGTACTTAGTGTTGTTCATAAATCATGCATGTAGAAGGTAGAAACGTAGATCTCGACCTGGATAGTGTATAAAATATAAAATAACATGAATGAAAAAGGACTTGTTTTTCTCGCATCCACCAATCCCAATTGATCTGTTGAAATTGTACAACCTCCAACTTTGCATGATTAAATTGAATTCTAACAAGAGATTATTACAGATTTGAGATTGGAAGTTTTTTATTTTTTATATTTGAGTAATTCAACTTTTATTATTTTTGTTTTAATCTGTGGATTATCAAATTTTTTTCTGCTCAAGTGTTTCAGTTGGACTGTTTGAAATATGTGCTTATATAGGTTCGTGACTTTGAGTATGAATACTTTGCTTGATTTGCCTGTTACGTTAGCATAAATATTTTACTTCATTTTATTCCTACATCATGTAAGTCGATTGAGTGTTTATATTTTTATTTGAATATATATAAATTTAATTTTGTTTTATTTGAATGTATGCATTTTCAAAAACTTATCACTGAGTACTATTTAATTTTAAAATAAAAGAATATCTAATTTGCAAAACTTATACAAACTATATTTTGATCAAGTTAAATCAAATAAAAATCAAAACAACAAACAATTATAAAAATTTAGTCAATTTAAAAAAGAAATAAAAATAAAAGACGACCTATCAAAATAAAATAAAGTCAGATTATAAAAGATGAGTAATTTTTTGTTCTATTTTTTTAAATAGTAATCATCGATAAAAATACGTTCAGAGAAAAAATATAAATACTTGATTATAAATAAAACACAATATTCATATTCATGTTAAGAATATATCAATATGTTGAAATATCAATTTATCGATCTCATCAGCATGTATTTTAACATGATTGCATCAAAATGTATTTCACAAAATTTAATGGTTGCATCAAAATGTATTTCACAAAATTTAACAGAAATACCGAATTAGAAAATTTTAATAATTTGCACATTTGAGAAAAAAAATAAAAAATTAAGATACTTAAATAGAAAAAAAAAATTGACACTTCAAATATGTAATAATCTCTGATAATAAATGAGAATGTGCTTTGCTACGAAACAATACAAACAATTTTACTTTTTTTTTTTAACAAATTATAAAATCAAATTTGACACATAACATCAAAGTCACCTCAGACTTTTTCTATCATTTAATTGTTTACAAATTACTTCTTACAGCGAATAGCTGACAACTTAGTCCCACCTTGTCTACAATACAAGAAAAGACATCACTTCATCATTAAGACCGGCTTAGCACTTCTAGTAATTTTGACCTTTCATTTATTGATCGGTAAATTAAGAAAAGCAATCCTTAAGAAACTGTACATATATGGCCTGCTTTTGATTAAGAATCTAGTTGGCTTTTCAAAAAAAGAAAAAAAATGTAATTACATGCCTCATTCGTTGTTTGTCGTGTTACAAAAGAAAAATCCAAACTTGAAATTTATTGTGAAAAGATAAAACATTAATATCGATTAAACTATAAAACTAATTTTAACTTATAGAAAAATTATTTTTTTACAACCTCCTCTAACATATATATAAAATATAACAGTACAACTAATTTATAAGAAAAAAATCTGACATAAGTACAATATAAAGATGATTTTAGTAATGTTTATATCGATTATGATTGTCACGAATTAATTGTGCATGTAACAACAGGTTCATGACATGTGAGTTTATAAATTTTTGATAATATATATTATTTTTTTTGTTGTAAAGAGATTGAATGATATTTTATTTTTATCTGTCTCAAAATAATTGTTTGGTCAAGACATATATTTTTTCCATAATTTTTTTGGTTAAACCTCATTTGGTAAGAAATCTATAATTGAAAATGGATTTTGTTAATTGAAAATGGATTTTGTTATATATATATATAAAAGATATATGGCATATCTGTTAATGACATTTCTAATACATATGAAAAGTCAAACTAGATAATTTTTCAAGAGGGAGGGATGAATTGTTATGTGTACGTTTTTTTTTATTTTTTTGGCACAATTGGAAAATTGTTTTGTAGGGGTACTAAGTTGGCAATCATAGGATAATTGATTCATAAATATATCTTACAATGAAATTTAGCTGAGACCCCATCCTTTGAGTGCCGATTAGATAATTTCTAGACATACACTTAGCCGATTTAAACGGATATATAGAATCGACTGGTGGGGTCAAAAAAGAGAAAAAACAAATGAGATATAATCGAGTACGTTTGAAAGTATTTTGATTTAAATCTTTTCATAGTTGAGTTTCAAATTGGTTATCCGTACTTTACCGATAATTTTTTTTATAATTAAAGAAATTATATTTAATAAAATTGAATCATGGCCTTATTTATGACCTATAAACCATTTATCAATCACATCAAACTTCAAATGGTCTATACTGTATGTTTAATAATATGCTAAGAGGTCCCAAAGCGTGACTCAAGGGCGGCGTTTAGTAGCAGTCTGCCTTCCTTTTCTACCTAATTTTCATGATATAAAGTTTAGGCCAATTTCATCTCAACCTTTAATTTTTCAAGGATTGATTTTCAGCCATTAGACAGATCACGCTATCTGAACCGTCGATTGTGCCTTACTTCTCATTTTACACAACCTTACTTTGACCAGAAAATGAAAAAAACATTGAGAGGAAGAGGAAGAGAGGCTCTTAGACTCGCGATTATCGCATCAGAACCAACCACCTTCAAGGTTAGCTGGCAGATGGACCTGCTAGGAGTTGTTTTTGGTTAGTCATAGACTCCATAGTAACCGGAAAGTCGAGTTTTAGCCAAAAACAATCCGGATCTAAAAACTTAAAACCTTAAACTTTTGCTTTGATTTTTGTCTAAATGTTTTTTGGTGCTGAAATGATGAACTTTTACGATGGAGTTTTGGAGGCCAGAATTTCCATCAATGGAGTTTTCCGGTCGGCGACAGCGTGCTCCGACAGCGGATAGGAATTGGAAGATGAAAAGCAAGCGACCCGTCGTTTTCTTCACGGGGCCAGTCTCTTGGCAGGCCTGGGAAGAGGACCAATAGCCCTCGCCTTTTGTGTTTTCCGTTTAATTTTCTTTGGTCGTTTTGTTTTTTATTTTTATTTTTTTCCGAAAATTTTATTTCTCTCTATTTACCCTTTTTAAGAGATAATTACCAAAAAACCTTTTAATATATATATATATATAAAATCCACAAATTTATTTTTAAATCTCTCAAACTCAAAGCAATATTTGTTTTACCAAAACATTCAATTGTTAACCACTTACTTAACAAATATTGGGTGTTTTGCTATGATAAAAGAAATTTAAAGATAAATTAGTGGGTTTTTTGGGAAGAAAGATTTTTTTAAAAGGTTTTTTTTTTTAATTACTCCTAACTTAGATGAAAATCATAATTTAAATGCTTGATGAAAAATAATAAGTTTCAATTAATTAAAGACTAGCACTATTGATGGTGTCTTTTGTTTTATCAATATATTAGTATTTAATAGATTATTAATGTTCATAATAATACTTTTTTTTAATCTTTTGTTTGTATGATAATTCTTGGATTAAATTACAAGAGGATAACAATAGTTTTATTTCATGAATATCAATATCATATGACTACTACTCGTAGTAAAACTACTTTTTAGTTGATGAAACAAACACTCATAAGAAAAAAATAAAAACTTTTCTTAGTTGATGGATTAAATGGTCGATAGAAAAAAATAAAAATTCTTACAAAAAGAATTTTTTAGTATAATAAGTAAGGAAATAATAGTTAAAAGTAAGTGGGTCAATAATCATAGAGTTTGAAAAAACTTATTTCCTTTCAACAAGAATAAATAAATAAATAATCTAAACTTGATAATGATTAAAAAAAAAATCAATATATATATAACCATTGGGAGTTAATTATTGGGTTTTTGGATAGAGAAATATTATTTTGGATTTGAGAGATTTAAAAATAAATTTGATGGGTTTTTTAGATAGATTTTTTTTTAAAGAATTTTTCTGATAATTCTTATTATTATTATTATTTATTTCGTCACAAAAATTTATAAAAAGTTAATTATAGTGCATTTTTCATTCGTTGCCAAATACAAGTAGAAAAGTAATGTTAAATTTTATTTATTATTCAGCGATGAAATTTTATTTGTTGTACAGTAATTCATTGATTTAAGGCTTTAAAAACTTTTCATATCTGAGGTTCAAATCATATTTATTTGGGTTATTGTTGAGGGGTAGTTAAAGTATATGTTGCAAAGAGATTATACCATTTGATTTTTCATTAATATTAAGAAGGTTGTTACTTATTATGCAATTAATTAGAAATATTAATTAGAATTGTTATTCATCAAAATGGATTTAACATTTTAAGAAAATACATCATTAAAGTTTGGACTAAACAAGTATTTTGGGTAAATATAAATAAAAAAATAATAATGTCTTTAGCGATAGAGAAAATAATATTAAACAACTAGAATAAAATAGAGAGAATAATGTTAAAAAAAAGAATGAAATAAAATAAAGTAATTTTATATCAACTTAAAATAAATTAGGATACGAAAAACATACGTAGAAGGAAATAATTAAAACTGATGGGATGCTTTTTAAGGATTAGTTTTCTTGATACAGGAGAATTCAATAATTTTATAGTATTTTTTTGAAAAAAATATCACAAGTATTTCAAAATTCAATTATATAAAAATAAAAATTATTATTATTAATACATAGATATGATATGTTGGGAATTATTTTAATCAGGTCTATTGTATGATTATAGAACAATAAATATAACATGCACATTTTTTTTTATAAACATACCACCTATTTCTCAAGAATTAATAATTTTTTTTGTCAAGAATTTTATAATTTTTGGCAATATATACGTATAGATAGAAAGGTGGGTTGGATTTATATATTCCTTTAGCTGGGTAAGTTATAATGATTTATGGTATTAAAAGGATACTATTCAATCAAAAATTTGAAAGTATATTCATCCATATCTTTTATTTCTGCAATTAAAAAGAGTGTACACATAGGCTACCATTCACAGTAAACATTAGTCTAGATGAACAGAAAATAAACAATAGACATCTCAAATTTTTTAGTTTTTTAGTAATATGTTCGGCGTGGAACATGCTGAACTTAGTACGAACAAAATTAATCACTTTAATATGAATCATCTAAAGTTGATCTTCTTTAATAGTCATAAAGCATATTAGTTTCGAATGTGATTACTAAACTGAAATCGTAATCCGAGCCATCGAGTTGATTTATAAGCCTGATTTTTTTTTCCCGATTAGATCAAATGAATCGATTTTTATAGGATAATGGCGAATCCGACCTTACAAAGGAGCTATGTCTCTAAGTTTTCGATTCAACCCTAGATGTCAGATAGGACTTAGAACTATGGTTTAAGCTATAAGGTACCTTTTTATTTTTTTCAGGTTGGAAAGAGTTGTCCGAGGTTCGAAGCTTTTAAAAGATGCTTCGAGCCTCCTATCCTCTTGATTATTTTAGCCCAAAATTAAAACGTCATCGTGTTGTGTTGATCAGAAGAATACGAGGGGTTTTGGGTTTTTCCTCGCCGTCTGCCACATTATCTCTCCCATTCAGTCTGCTGTGTCGGAGAAAAATGTTTCCCCTTCAAACGATGGCAGTGCCGAAATCCTTTTCACCTCTTTGCTCGATAAATGTTGAACCCAATTTAGTCCGCCTTCCGGCAATTTCTCATCAAAATCCTTTGCACCGTGGGCACAATTTAAGAAGTCTTCCTCGCTTCGCTGTTTCAAAGAAATCTGATTCTGACCCTGAATCTAGTTCTAATCCCCAAATGAAATCTAAAGCAAGAACTCGTCGACCGAAAGCTGAAGGTGGTGGGAAGGAAGGAGGAGAAATTTTCCCAACAACAATTCCGAGGAAGCCAAGACGTGGCCGAAGGAGTGAAGCAGTTGCAGTTGAAGATTTTGTACGCGATTCATTGGAACGAACATTTACATCGATTAGGCAGCAGAACCCGGGTGTTTTAGAGGATGCGGAGGATGTAATCAAGGATAAAGTTAATGTAAATATAGATTCTGAAACCAGTGATGATGATGACGATGAAGAGGAGGGGAGGAGGAGGAAGGTGGTAGTGAGGATGGTGATGTTGGTAAAGCTAAAGGAAAGAAAAAGAAGATGGTGGTTGAGGAGGAAAGTCAAGATTGGCCATTGGATGCTGATGTGGGGTGGGGAACTAGGGCATCCGAATATTTTGAGAAGCATCCAATAAAGAATGTTGTGGGACAAGATGGGTTTGAGGTTGACTGGGAAGGAGAGATGGAGGATAACTGGGTGAATGAGATTAATTGCCTAGACTGGGAGAGATTCGCCTTTCATCCTAGTCCACTGATTGTTCTTGTATTTGAGAGATACAGCAGGTAGTTTTCTTCTGTTATTTGGTATTTTCTCATACATTTGCTTGGCTATTTATGTTTAGAGACATAAGAGTAGGATTCCTTGATTCTTTACAACTCATAGACATTCCTTCATTATTTTTTATGGTGCATGTGAACTGCAGTTGTTAATTAATGGCATAAGGATTAAATAAGCATGTCAATTTAGTGAGGAATTTCTCGAGAAAGCATTGCTTGAGAGTCGAGAGGTGCATAGGCTGCCTCTTTTCATTATGTATAAGTGGATTGTTCTAGCAATTGGAAATAGACATAAATAGTTTCTATGAAAATCTGAGTGGTTCAAACTTCAAAGTGAATTTTGGATATTCGTTGTCTTGGCCTTCTCTTTGTTAGGTCTGTACTTCTGAAGTACGCATGTTTCTTATATCATCTTGTTGATGTCTGGTTGCATGGTTGCATCCTAATCACTTAATATAATTTAGTGGGCAAACTAAGAATGAGATGTTTATCTTTGGCATGTGAAACTGCTTTATTTCTTCTTCTTTAATTGTTATGCACAGGGAAATTTGTATATGTGAATCAGTATCTTTACTTGCACTAAAAAAAGTCTGCTTATTCATCTTTTTTCCACAGGGCAACTGATAATTGGAAGACTTTGAAAGAGCTAGAAAAGGCAGCCAAGGTGTATAGGGGTGCCAAGGATCGATTGCCTCCTAGGGTAAAATGAGCATCTCATTGTTTCCATTTGAACTGCATCTAATTTCATAAGGTTTTAACTTTACTCTCTGTTTCACCTAAACCTTGGTTTCTGAGACACCTTTATGTTTTCTGTTCTTTCTTTATCTTCAAACTAAATCAACTTAAGAGGATATAAAGTGCTTTTTTAGGTTCATTTGATGATTGCAATGATACATATGAACTCTTTCAATTTCTGGTCCGTTTGTTGTCTTTAGGAGTTGGTTGCTTGGATTTTTTCAAAATTTTGTCTTGTGGATGGCTAATTTTGGGAATTTTTGGGATCAGACAGTGAAGATAGACATCAACCTCGAGAGAGATTTGGCATATGCTCTTAAAGTTAAAGAATGCCCTCAAATTTTGTTTTTACGAGGAAACAAGATCTTGTATAGGGAGAAAGGTAAGGCATATTGCTTCCTTAACAGAATCACAAGAAGAATGGTATTGCTCAGTTGCTACCTAAATTAAGATATTTTCAAGCTCCTTTCTTTCCATGTTCTTATGAAGTGATGGATTTTGCAGAGTTTCGAACTGCAGACGAGTTGGTCCGGATGATCGCGCATTTCTACTACAATGCTAAGAAACCTTCATGTGTTAACAATGCAAATTTATGCCCTTAAAGTGTAGCTACAATTCTCAAGGTACTCAAGTATGAGAATATCTAATTCTTGCACATCTATTTTTTATCACCTAGCTCTGCTCTTGATATGATACCTTCCACATGGAGATGAAGCATGAAGAAGGAAGCAGTTGAATGGACTCACCTTATATGTTTCTGGTCAATCCCTGTCACTTTTGCTCTGGAATCCCAGCAGCCTGACTGGTTTAATCAGGTTGGACTCTCACCTCAGTATCCTTGGTATGCTGTATTTGATGATTGGATGAGGGAATTGTGATCGAATCACGAATAAACTTCAAAATTATAAGGGAAAGCGTACTTGTCAACAAGCTTCATTCTTATAATGGCTAATTAATAGAACTTATTATAAATTTTACAGTTTTGTTTAAATGATTCCTCACGTCAAAGTAGAAATTCTTCTGGTTTCTCACCGGGAAAAGGCTAGATTAATTCCAAATACGGTAGATTTGTCAAAGAATGAGAGACAACTAAACCAGACAATTCGGAATAAGTGAGATTGTCTTGTTTGATATTCAAGAATCAGAAGCCATGTTGTTATGCTGATGTGGTAAGCTTTGTATGTACGGATTGGGTGTATGTGGATAGAATATTTTTGGAGTATTAACTAATTTTTAATCTGCGTCTGGTTCTTGCTCAACATGATGGATCGATTTTTGTGTACTTCTTCTGAGTATTGATGTGTTCTCAACTTTCTTTTCAACTGGAAAATAAAAATGGCATGCCTTTTTTCTTGATAACGTCGCTTGTTCTAAGACACGGGGACATCATCTGTTCTGTATGATTTTCAGTTCAGTGCCGTGTTCTTCTGTCCCCGAACTCCCTCCTTGACAAGAAAGAACTGTTCTCAGAGAGATTTTAAAATACTCCGAGTAACTATTGTATGTTTAGTCATGGGTCCACTTTCAACAAGAGATAGATAAAAAAAAAAAAAAAAAAAAGAATCACATTACTATTACTAAAAAAAACTAAAAGATCTATTTTTACTGTTAATTTGCTATAGTATTTTTTTTTTTTTTCAGGGGCTGGGCTGCTTGGAGAAGCAGGCTCAGCCGAGCTTGGCAGCAGGCTTAGGCAAGCCTGAATAAGTAGTCTCGTCTGTCTTTTTTTTTTCAATAATTTTTTTTTATATTTTTTTATTATAAAATTAGGTGTGAAAATATAAATTTTTTTTTAGTTTTATATTTAATTTGACGGTAATAGAATATATATGATATTTTTTAAGATTTTAGTTTGAATATATATATTTGATTAAATTATTTTTATTATTATTCAATTGTTTGTTTATTATTAAAATTCTGATCAAATTAATTTTTTTATTTTTTTATAATTTTATTTGTTAATAAATTTGATTTTTTTATATATTGATTTTGAAATAAAATTTAAGAACATGATTGTTTTATTTTTTAAAATATATTATTATAATTTACACAATTGATTATTTTTATAATTTTTAAATGAGAATAATGTAGTTGCATATATAAATTCTAATGAGAGAGAGAGAGAGAGAGCTAATAGTGTGTTTTAGATAATTTGATTTAATTTTTTTTAAAATAATACTCATTTAAAAAAATAATTTGACTTAGAATTTATATAATTAGACTTTATCGAAACTAGTTTTATAATAATTTTTATTTAAATCTATTTACTTTGATATATTTCATTTGATTTTAGTGAGTTTTTTTGTATATTTTTATTTATTTATTCTATATACTTTGAATCGTTAAGTATGATACATATATAGTAGTTTTTTTAGAAATTAATTATATCTACACATATAACATCAATTATTTGTTATTTATTCTTTTCATGTTCTAAAATCTGTATTTTTAAATAAAATAATTTAATTAATGTTTTGAAAGAACCTCTTAATTATTCAAATACAAATTTTTATACTAATATTATAAATTATTTTGTTAATAAATATATATAAATCAAACAAGTTAGCTTAATATATATATATTTGATTTACATTAATATTTAGAAACAAAGCTTCTACTTGCATCACACTATATAAATTGTTAACCCTGTATGTATAATGGTTGTCTGACTGGAGCGTAACGCTAGTATCTAGCTAGCTAGTATCTATTAAAAGTTATCAAAATCGGCTTAATTTTTATTTTTATTTAATAAGATTGGATTGCTAATAGAGTTGAAATTTATTATATAAGGAGTTGTTTCAATAACATCTCAGCCATTTGTTTACTCAATACATTTGATTTTTATTCATTTTTCAAGACGAATTAAGTAAAAAAATTTAAGTACCGACTTTACTCAAAAACCAATAGTCGTATCCGATAACATCCCAGCCATTTGTTTTCATGATTTTGGCATGACTAATGCCAATCTTACCAAATTTACTTTTTGAAAAATCTTAGTCATTGAATGAGGGATCCCACTTGTTTATTTGTTGAATTCCGAGTAATCCTTCTGACAAGATTAGCAAAATCTCTTTCATTTACTATAATTAAATTAGGATTTGATTGTAATGAGGGGAACCAGAACCGATATGGTAAAATAATAAACACCTTTGCCCAGCCAAAATGGTCATTGGACAAATTCGGAAAAGAAAAGAAAAGAAAAGAAAAAAATGGAAGAACCCATTTTTATTTGAACACAAAGAGGCCCTCTTGGAGCCTATAAAAGCTTGGCTTGGCTGATTTTAAAGATGAAAGATTTGGTGCTAGTTAGATATTCATCAAGCGATGCCAAAGCTGTATTCCTCTTGCTTTATGCTTCTCCTCCTCCTCTTGACATCAGGTCAATCCCTCCTTTCATTTTTATATTTTCTCCTTGTGCATATATTCTTGCTTGATCATCTCATCTCTACATTTCGATATTTGTCAGTTAATTTCTTTTCAAAGATTGTAGGTTTAATCCGATGCTGGTTTTTGTTGCTGCAGTTGAAAGTGGAGTATGTCAGATAGGAGGGCTTTCCCGTTGTGTGAGAAGTTGGGATTGCAAAGACAAAAAAGCTTGCAAGGATGAGTGCAGCTCCGGCTATGCCGGAGGTTATGGATTGTGCACTGGCAATCCCAACATCTGCTTGTGTTCTTATGATTGTCCTCCTCTTTAAGATGCTCTGTAACATGAAAAACAAATAAGAGAGTTGCAAATTTCTTGATGTTCAAAATATAAAGTTGAACCCATTAAGCTGTAACAATAATGCAAGAAAAACAATTGCAGGTTTCAAGCTGGATTATTTCTTATCCGTGGAAACTCTTTATTTATTTATTTTTTTTAAGCTGCGATGGAGAATTCCAACTGGTTTTCTTTGGACCTAAATTTTCTAGATTATATAAAAGAAGGTAGTTTCTTTGCAAATTCTTAATTATTATATTAAAAAAGATTAAAGAGGGCCAAAATACTACTCTTATGATGAAAAAAATCCCAGTTAAAAAAAAAAAAATCTATATGCATCCAAAATTTCAAGCTGACTTTGTAAAACCATTCAACGTGATGGTCGTGGAAATTGAAAGAAGGCTGCCAAAATTTCGATCCTTATAGTTGTCTAGCTTTATTTATTTTCCTTTCATAAAAGCTGTTCAGTACTATTTTGTTATTCTCTGTTCTGGTTGTTCGAATTCTAAGATTAGGATTAGCCACTCAAAAGAATCACAAGGCCATGTATGAGATACGCACTTAATATCAGAGTGAAAGAGAATTTAATTTGAATAAATTACTAAAAACACTATATTTAGATGGCAGAAACATTCTGCATGTTTATTTTTTAAATATTACACTTTATATTTTTTTTATCTATTTATTTTCAGTCCGGTAAACAAAAAAATGAAAAAAAATACCATCCTGTATATATAATTAAAACCTTAGATTATAATATATGATGTTTTATGATAGGGTTATTAAAACCTTGGAGTATAAATTGTAATATTTAAAAAATGACAATGCAAAATGTTTCCATCATTTAAATACAGGATGTTTTAGTAATTTACTCATTTAGTTTTTATCGATTCAAGCTAGTTTAAGAATATTTCTTAACATAAAAAAAATCACAATAATATTTTTTTTTCAAAATGATAGTTTTCTTTAACTTTTCACAACATCTAGAATTTTTATTAATTTTAATGTTATTATTTTTAACAATATTTTCTTAAAATATTTTTGTTTGTTAAAAGGGAAAATTTATCCAATTTAATCTTACATTATAAAATGAAAGTATTTTTTTTTAAATATAGTATTAAAAAATTTGACCAGCAAGTATTTTAGAACATATAAATTAAAAAAATATTAAAAAATTTGACCAATAAAAATATTTTAGAACAAATATAATAAAGAAAGTAACAATGAATCTCCAAAAATAGTATTAGTAGAAGGAAAACAATTAATCAACATCAAGGAGACGGACGCATAAATACGTAAAAATAATATGGCCAAGTGGGAAATAAAGGCAAAGTAAAAAAAATCTAGGGTGCGCCCAGTCTCCCTTTTTCTCTGACCCGATCACAATTTTATATTCCGGCGAGGCAACCCCCGCTCTCTCTCCCTCTCTAACACTTTCACAATCTAGGTCTAGGGTTTTTGTAGTGGTTCTCTTGACCAAAGCATAATGAGAGGATTATTAAACAAGCTCGTTTCTCACTCCCTCTCTGTCGCTGGCAAATGGCAACACCAACAGCTCCGCCGCCTCAACATCCACGAATATCAGGTCTCCCTTTCCATCTCCTCCTCCTCCTGTAAATTTAGATCATTCCGTCTGTGATTTTCTGTACGAGTCTTACGCGAATTCCTTTCCGCTCCTTTTTAAGTATGATTTACAAAAAATTGAGAGCACATTTTCAGCTTTTTTTTTTTTAATTAGAAAAGATTATGTAGTTCTTTTTTTTTTGTTTTGTTTTTTTCTTAGTAAAGATAAAGTTCGTTTAGTTTCACTAATTTATTTCCATTTGGTGAAGCTGTGAAGTGTGAGGTTGAATCTAGTGTTTTTTTTAAAAATTTTTTATCGCGTTTGTTTGAGATATTCAGCAGTTTTGAATTCTAGATTTGTTTGATCTGATGAGGTGATTTTATCAGGGAGCTGAATTGATGGGAAAATATGGGATCAATGTCCCTAAAGGTGTAGCTGTTTCTTCCCTTGACGAGGTTAAAAAGGCTATTCAAGATGTATTTCCTGGCGAAAGTGAGGTACTTGTACCAAATATTTGCAAATGTTTCAATTTTCCTTCCCAAGAAATGTTGGAGAATAAAAGAAAAGTTTAGCTACCAGTGTTTTTTGCTTTAAATTATGGAACAAAACAATAAATGCAATCAATCTAGGTTGTTGTTTCTGTATTTAAGGTTCCTAATGATGTACTGTTCAAAGATTAGTATTGTTATATCTTGTTGCTATCATGAAACCAAGTGATGCTAACTTTGACTCTGGTGCAGCTGGTGGTTAAGAGCCAAATTTTGGCTGGTGGACGAGGCTTAGGAAAATTTAAGAACGGTTTTGAGGGTGGAGTTCACATTGTTAAGGCTGATAAGGTTGAAGAAACAGCTGGTAATGAAGATTGGCTTCTGCCCTTTCCTTAACAACTCGATTGAGAGTTTTTCTTCTTCGCAATGTCTACACATTTTCTTTGTCATTTGTTTTTTTTATTTTTTATTTTTTTATTTTTTTGAGTTACAGGCATAGCTCCTGGGTTCGATTGATGGATCCACCAAATATTTTGTTCTGTATAATTTAGAAAATCTAGTCCTTTTAATTTGACACTAGTCTTTCATGTTTTTACTACTGTGTTCTCGCTAATCCCATCTCATATTCTTATTGCATGCAGGAAAGATGCTTGGCCAGATACTTGTTACTAAACAAACTGGTCCTCAAGGGAAAATTGTCAGCAAGGTTTGGCATCGATGTGCTCTTTTTTGTAGAACTTATTTGTTGCATATAGTCTTTCATCAATTGGTGCATGGTAGTTGTTTTCATTGCATATCAATTACCTGTTGGTGGCTGCTACTTTGTCTGCTTGGATGATTGCAAGACTTGTTTGGGTATTTTATGATTTTAGAAAGAAGCCAGTTAAAAACTCATCAATGCTTGTGAATGAAGAGTCACTTTGGCTTTTTACAGAAAAACTAGGGGATGTGGAATAAAAAATTTCAATGGTCTTATTTAATGATCATATTGCATGAGACATTTGGATGCCTGTTTTGTAAGATTTAAAGAAGATACTGTGATAAGATGAACTCCACTTAACAGAGCATTATTGTTCATGGTATTTTAATTTTACAATTGCTTTCAGCTCCATTTCTTGAGCATCTTGCATTTAGTGTTTGTTATTTATCTTCTAAATTCTATGCAAAGTTCATAGTAGTCCTGCCCATATGGATTCTTCAAAAATTTTAGCCTGATGGATACCTTGTGTTTTAGGCCTATTATACCATTGTTTATATTTATATCTTTTGTTCATTTTCAAAATGAACTGTTAGCAGTCATGCACAACTATTATATGAGATTTGACTTGTGTAGGATCTCTCTCATCTAATCATAGACATAGATGGACTGACTGTGAACTGTTAGCTCCATTTTAAGACTCATACTGTGTATTGTAAACAGTAAAAATTGTGAATCTGGCTATCAGGTTTTAGTTGGTTAGGCTTCCAATTTTTGTTGGCTAGGAGCAACTTATTATTGATTAACTCATCAATGGTTACTTAACATGGAAAACTGGTGGGTTGATGAGAAGAATGTGTGTTGGACTATATTGATAAAATGTTCCATATCTTGGCTTATGTTTCGTCTTTTATTTTCAGATATTTGATGACTGCAACAACAATATTGAATATTCACTTTGCAAAAAAATAAAAAATAAAAATAAATAAAAAATAATAATTAAAAGATGTTGATCCTTGAGTTCGTTTCACCATATATAGTTATTTTCATCCAGCAATAGTTTCTTAAACATTTCATTGCACAAGGCTGCATGATTATCTTGTTGGTTTGAGGTTCAGTTAATTTCCTTTACTTTGCAGGTTTACTTGTGTGAAAAGTTATCACTCGTCAATGAGATGTACTTTGCTATCATGCTAGATCGTGCAACTGCTGGTCCAGTATGTTTCTCTCACTGATATGGTTATTTGTGCTTTTTCTTTGGTTTATTAATTCTATTTTCTATTTACTTTCAGTAAATTTATCCTTTCTTATAAGTACTCACAAAAAATTGTTCTGAATCAAAGAAGCACACTCACATATCTTGTTTTTCAGCTTATCATTGCATGTAAAAAGGGGGAACCAGCATTGAAGACCTTGCCGAGAAATTTCCTGACTTGATTATTAAGGTTTGTCATTCTTTTTTCCTTGTAATGTTTTAGCATAGGTCTAATTGTGCAGTCTCTTTGTCCCTTGCTCATTGCCTAATTGTTATTTAACTGATCCATTGTTTTTTCTGCTTTCTGATAGGTCCCCATTGATGTATTTAAAGGAATTACTGATGAAGATGCTGCAAAAGTTGTAGATGGCTTGGCTCCAAAGGTTGCTGATAGAAATGATTCAATTGAGCAAGTGAAGAAATTATATAGGCTCTTCTGCAAGAGTGACTGCACATTGTTGGAAGTGAGCATAAATTCCTGCGTTCAATTACTGCTAATGTTGTACTTATTTCTATTTTGTTTATTTTAATCACTCAGAACTGCTATTTTTGCATTCCTTTTCCTATATGCATATCTAATTATTAACCCCTTTCCAATCTGCTCAGATCAATCCCATGGCAGAGACTTCTGATAAGCTGTTGGTAGCTGCTGATGCTAAATTGAATTTTGATGATAATGCTGCATTTCGTCAGCAGGAGATATTCGCTCTCAGAGATCCAACACAGGAAGATCCTAGAGAGGTATGTTTGTGTTTATTTTTCCCCTTACATAGGCAACCTAAGTGCTGGTTATGTGGAGAATCATGGAAGGTTCTGGGCCACATGTTACATCTTAAGTTTGCTCTAGTAGAGTTAGACATATTTTGAAACACATGGTGAACTTGCACAGATGCACACAAATGCACCTGCATTAACTTTTTTAACCAAGGAAGAATGTTGAAATGCTTCATTAATCGCTGCATCTTTTGGTGCCTTTTGATCTTTTGGTAGGTGGCTGCTGCCAAGGCAGATCTAAATTATATTGGCTTGGATGGAGAAATTGGTTGCATGGTGAATGGTGCAGGATTAGCAATGGCTACAATGGATATAATTAAACTGCATGGGGGAACTCCTGCAAATTTTCTAGATGTGGGTGGGAATGCTTCTGAAGAACAGGTAATATGTTTTATTTGAAGTATTGTGCTTCAACTTCTTTAATTATCCATTGGCCTTTCCTGCTGAATTTGACCAAAGGAGTCTGCACTGTTGTCATCACATGTGCATGTTTTCATTTTCAATTTATTATTATTTTTTTTCTGCTGATGGAAACTGATCCTTTGCAAGTCCAAATCATCATACTTCTCTAAGAAAGCAAATTTTATGTGGCAGGTGGTTGAGGCATTTAAGATATTGACTTCCGATGACAAAGTAAAGGCAATTTTGGTGAATATATTTGGAGGTATAATGAAATGTGATGTGATAGCAAGCGGAATTGTCAATGCTGCCAAACTGGTGAGATTTGAATCAAATCATATTCGGGTTTAAATGAAATAATTACTACTGTGTTCATTCTAGCTTCTTTGCCCTGCACCACCACAGTTACTACTTTGTGGGGTTTTACTACAGATAAAATGTAGGCGTTGTGATTTCACCAAAGGAAAAAATAAAAATAAAAAAAACCCTAAAAGTTCATAGTTGTTAAAAATACTTTTAGTTGTTTGAATAATATCGTTAAATATTTCATTTGATTTGGGAAGGCATTAACTTTCTTGGTCCTTGAAAAGGTTGCTCTAAAAGTTCCAGTGGTTGTACGTCTTGAAGGCACTAATGTTGATCAAGGAAAGAGAATTCTGAAGGTAAATGTGAAATTTGATCACGTACATCATGGATGTTGAATTTGAACTGCGATGGTAATTTATTTTGATCATTAATATATGCAGGAGAGTGGAATGACACTAATCACAGCAGAAGATTTGGATGATGCTGCAGAGAAAGCAGTAAAAGCAGCAGCTACTTGATTAATCAAGACATGAGACCAATTTGTCCCTCCCAATTTTTACAACTTTTGGTGAATTAAATACATTGAAAGTTGAAAATAATATAGCAACTACAAAGGTTTATTGCCCCTCTTTTAAGATTTTGGTTCTTTAACCCTCCCTCGTCATTGAGTTTTTTTTATTTTTTTTATTCGGTTAAGAAAATTGTGGTCGTCTTTGATTGTTTTAGGTCATGAAATGGATGGTCTTCGAGCCTTCTTTTATAGGAATTGTTTTCTGAATGTCTTGCATTGAAAGGTATTCTAAACGTGCAAGTGTAAGCAGGCTGACGCTTTGGTAACATATTCTTGTTTTTGCTCGCTCAAATTTCTAGGGGAGTATTCCTTTTATTTGGATGTTCTGTGCATTAAATAATGAATAGCTTAAAAATATGTACTCAATGCCGTCAATGAGCCTGTAGCTCAATTGTCATACAAGTTCTTTCGTTCTCAGAAAGTTTGGAGTGCGAATCTTTTCTTTTTTTTTCTTTTTTTTTTTTTTGTGTTGGTGTGGCGATTTATGTCATCCTCAATAATAAACAAAATTACATGCAGGATTTACACTGATAAAGGACCTGTTGTGTTTTCTTGATTACACAATGTCCTGCACTGTGTATTGCTCTTATGATGATTGAGCTATATTTTTCTGAAATGCAATATGCTGTGAATTGGATGGTGATCATGGGATTGACGGCAATTGCATTTGGGGTACGCTTCCATCTCATACATGTAAGCTTTCTGATTTCTAACCTTCGCCATTTTGATCAACTGCGCCTTCTTCCTCTGGCACCCATCCTCCAGCTATCCATTCTGATGCGCAGAAAATAATATGGCCCTATTCTCTTCCATTGACCTCGACCCTCCGGGTACTGTGATCGTGTACGAGAACTCCAAATCCTTCTCACTGATACCTTAACAGACCACTCTTTGGCCATCCCTATTATGAGTACCCACTTCAACAGCTCCAGCTGCAATAAAAAATCTCAGTCTTGCTGAAGCCGATTTTAAGATTTTTCTTTTCTATCTGGTCAAGTAGATGCTTAACGTGACCCTCAACCTTCGCTTCCTAACCTCGATCTCTAACCAACGTGAAGATGTGGCTAGTTCTTGAATGCTTCAACAATTCTATCCTTGAAGACTTGGGCAACAGTTGTCAATTTTTAGCATGTTTAGGTAATTTTATTTTGTTTTATACAATAGTTATTCCTATAAGTCATTTTTTAGGGGAGAGAAGATAAAAAAAGAAAAAGGAAAAATTATTCAGATCCATCAAAATTGATAAAGTTATTTTCACTTCGCTTCAATGATTTTTTTAATTCTCCTTTTTTTAATCCACCAAAAGTAATAATTTTTTTTTTTTTTTTTTTAATCATACTAGAACATTCGAAGCACAATCCCGAATATGTTTTTAAGTAATATTAACCATATTTTAGAGTTTTATTAAATAATTTAAATTTTTGAATTAAAATAATTCTTTAATGTGGTATTAAAGTTTTGAAAACAATCATGAATTTGATGTTCATGACTTTTATTTTTTATTCTAATTAAAATTAAATAATCAAACACTTAAAAATAATTTTATATTATTTTTTAATACAACTCTTTAAACGAAAATTTTTTAAATATAAAACTTATATAAATACATCGCTATCTTATACTTAGTACGTAACTGATGAGTATAAGAAGGGGGCTGCTTTAGTTGTCAGGACGCCGCAATTTAAATTGCTTTCTTTAGCTTGCATGCCAAGTTAGGATTTATAGGAGAAGAGAAGAGTCCTGTGCTTTCTGTTGGTAAACAACTAACAAAATGGTTGGTTAATAGAATCAAGCAACGGCAGCGGCTGGCGCCCGGAAATGTTTGTGCCCTAATATCAACAAATGAAGGATGAAGAAATTAATGCTTCATTAATCAGTACCCTGTTCTCTTTTTTTGTGCTTTGTGATCCTTTGGAAGAAGGGGGCGGCCAACGTGGATTCTAGGCTTCGATGGAGAATTATGAATAGGGCAAGATTGAGCAATGGCTTCTGAATGCGAAGTTGGAGGTTTAAGGCGGAGACTTACGTAACAATTGCTCGTATCTATGCTTTGTTCATCTTACTAGCACGTATCATACTTGACATCCAAGGAAAATGGATGGTTAAAAAACTTCCAAAGGTTAGCTGTAAAATAACCAGCGACCATTGCATATAGCTCCAAAATGTGAATAAAATTCGACTGAATTTGTCAGTTACATTCACTGGTCATTGCTTATTCAAGAAATTATTAAGTAAAACGGTTACTTTGAAACTTGAGCTATATGAGTCTGCTGGCTTAGTATTTTTTTCCTAAATGTCATAGAGGATATTTGATGACGAGCTTTAGAGAGAAAGATGAGAAAAAGGGTCGTAATCTACTATTAAAATAATTTAAAAAAATCCAAAACTAGTCCATAAATACATTACGGATAAATGATTAGTTACATAAAAAAGATGAAGCAAAGAAGAGAATCATCCTTCTGTGTCTTAGAAGAGATAGGTTGCATCGCATGCATAATAGAAAAAGAAAGAAAGAAAGAGAGAGAGAATGAATGTATATTTCATTCTTTTTTCTGTTTTGTTTTTTGTTTTTGTATTATTTATATGTATCGGTGAGATGGGTACCTAAATGAATTTGTGTGAATGTTTATCATTATCTCTTATGAGATGTGTATGTAGACATGATTTTAGGATATCTATGTTCATGCATATTTTCAGGATATGTTCATGTCTTCTAACAGAAATATTTGTGTTCGTATTAATCTCTTAGTGGGTTATTCATAAAAGGAATAAAAAAAAATTGATATCTCACAGCTCACACATTATTTATTTCGTTTATCTCCTCCTCTTCTTTTATTTCTTTTTACTCTCATTTTTATTAAAATGAATAATTACAAATGAGTTCTAACACTTTTTCAAGGATTCAGCTATGTTCTTGGAAATGCAGTATGCTGTGGATTGGATGGTAATCATGGGATTGATCCCAATTGCACTTGGCAGTACACTTCCATCACATACAAATAAGCCATTTGCCTCCCAACTTTCGCCATTTTCATCAACCGCACCTTCTTCCTCTGTCGAACCCATCCTACAACTGCCCATCTGATGTGCAGAAAAGAATACGGTCCAATTTTCCTCCCTCGAATGCATCCCTCCAGGTACAGTGATAGTGTCTAAGAACTCTTCCAAATCTTTGTCCGTACTACCATTACAGACTATTCTTTCGCCATCGCTCCGGTAAGTGCCCACTTCGACAGCTCCAGCCGCAACCAGAATTCGCAAAGCCTGCCTCAAGCCAATTTTAAGGTTTTCCTTATCTAACTTGTCTAGTCTATGCTTAATTTCACCCTCCACCTTCACTTCTCCAGAACCTCGATCTCTGATTAATGCAAAAATGTGGGCAATCCTTGCATATTTAACCATCCTCTCCTTCAAGTCTGGTCCTGAAATCCATGGAGATAATGCTGCATATGAGGCAGGTCCAAGCGATGAAGCTTCAATAATGGCGCGGACATTGGACTCCTCTGAGACTACCTTGTGGACCGATGTAATAATTCCTCCCTCAAATGCTTTGCCTTTGAGACCTGATAAATGTTCTGGAAAGTAGCCCCAAGCCAATTGCACTGGGTGGAGGTGGAGGTTCTTGCCAATATTTGGATTCTTCAACCCACTAGAGATCATAAGTGGAGGTGTCAAGAGCGAGCCACATGCCGAAACAGTTACTTTAGCCTCAATTTGCAGCTTCTTTGAGACGTTTGTACTCACAGCTCTTGCGATCACTCCCAAGCATTTCTTCCTTGCCAATCCATTCTTAGCATCCTCCAATATGAATTTCTCAGCTTTGCATCCTGTTAGTATGACAGCACCACAACCAACAGCATCGACCAACCACGTGGAATCAGTCCCTTTCTTGTCTCCTGTTCTACAGCCATAGCCGCAAGAACCACAATAATGATCCTCGGAGGAATTCCTTGGGACTGATTCAACTTCTAAACCGAGATTCTCACATCCTTTTCGAAGAACTTGGTTTTGAAACCCTTCCTCAGTACAGTTATTTGTGACACCAATCCTCTCGGACACAGCTTCCATGGCATGTTGATAATCAGGGCTCCCAAAAACTGGAATCTTGTGATCCATAGACCATTCTCTGAGAACAGTATCAGGTGTCTTAATGCATGCAGACCAGTTTATAGCAGAGCCTCCACCCACAGTTGATCCAGCTAAAATCGTAACTTTCCCGCTGTGAGTCGAGAGAAATCCACCAGACTCGTATAGCTCAGACGAGGAAGGCCCTTCCAGCGAAGAGTAGTCTTGCGCCACAAAGTAGTTCCCTTTCTCAAGAACAAGTACTTTCTGGCCTGAGCTTGCAAGTAACGCAGCTGCAACCCCTCCCCCACAACCGGAGCCAACAATCACAACATCACATTCAATCTTGCAGGTGTTGTGTTCTGGATCTTCGGTGACTTGGAGGCCTTTTTGGATGAGAGTTCGGACAAGGGTTGAGTCATCTTCATGTGCAATTTCTATGATCCCCTTTTGAAGAGGTCTCTCTTCTCGGGGTTTATTCAACTTTTCCCTGGTGTCTACTTGGTATCCAATTGCTTCCCATGCTGGGTTTTGTGAGTTTTCATCAGTCTGCAACAAACAGAGAGATTCTGATGTAAAAGAAACATGAAAGGCTCAAAATTTGAAACTAAGATTGACATCCAGTAACGCCAAACATGCTATTCTTGTTTTTGTTTAGGTAGTTGAACCGCATCAGTTTCTTTTATGCCCAACTCATAGGCTACCATGCAGAAGATCAGAAATTGACTTCCAAATGAATGTATGTATCAGAAAATTATTTGTGCCTTAAAATCCTACTCATCTTCTAAGCTTAAAAAACACAAGAATAGATTATTGAATTAATGGGACGGACAGCAGGATAGAAAAACTAAATTAATCATTACCCTGGAGAAGAAATTGTACAAGCAGAAGAGTTTGATCATCACAAATACGATTCTTAGGGGTGTAAGGTACGTTTGCCTTGACCAGTTCATAAGAATTTGTTGTCTCCTCTCCAGAGAAATTTCGGAGAACTTGTGAATGAATGGCCACTTCCAATCCAAACACATGAACCCACAAAGCAAAAGTGTGCTCAATCTATAAGAGAGAAACTTCAAAACCAATCTCACTACGAACACTGCATCTGCTACACCTCTCTTGACAATAAAATTTGCCACCTGCAGTTTTCCATGGTCAAAAATCAAGGAACATAAGCACTGACAATACTAAAACAAGTAAAAAACTTTTCAAAGTAAAGAGGTTTAAGGAACATAAAAAGCCCAAAAGAAAGGGAGATTTTCAGGAAAAAAAAAAAAAACTAACAAAAAATGCCAAAAAAAAGAAGGCCTTTTAGTATGTAATAATAGTGACTGAAAATTAACAGCAGCGGTGAACAAAGTAGGTGTAATTAAGATTTACCTCATCAGGTAATGGTGAGTGAGAGCCAGAAGCTTTGTAGAAAGATTGAATAGCCTGATGTTTCTCAACCGGGATCTCCTCGCTAAAAGCAGGTACAGACAATGGAGGAATGATCGTTTCACACATAGCAGCCAGTGATTCGATTTGGCCTGAAGAGAACCCATGACTGTAAGCATCATTACTCACTCTCTTCCCTCCTCTTAACAGAGGATGGCAGTCCTGTCTTTGCTCCATATCTTCTTTTGCCGCTGCTCTTCCTCTCCCTCTCCCTCTTACTTGAGACAGATGGATTTCTTGTTCGTGTCACTTCCCTGTTTGTCTTTATGATGAAACATGAAAGGTAACGAACGAGTTGTTGCCAACGATAAACAATCTGTTTTTAGAAGAATTTTCTGTCACTATGTAGAATTCAAATCCTATCCCTCACGTTTCAAATATAATTTAAGTATATCTTTAAACTAAGATGAAGATACATAAGGGGAAAAAAATTAGATTTAGACGGACGCGTCATTTTATTTCTTTCACGGACATGAAAATAAGATTCGTTATCCTATGATTACAATTCCTATAATTATAATTTATTTAATGAAAAAAATATTTTTATTTTGGTACAATTTCCAAAGCAATGTGCTAGAAATACTTAATAATTTTTATGTTTTTTTGTTAACTAATGAACAAAGTCATCATAGATTAAATAATATTCAAAGTGTACGCAATAGTTTTTTTGTTAATTATATAAAAAAGAAACTAGTTAGATATTCGCGTTATGTTGTGGTTAAACAATCATTACATACGTAAGCTTAACAATTTATATGATGCCCTGCGAATAGAAGTTTTATTTTTGATGATTAGTTCAAATCAAATTTCTATATTAAGTGAAATCGTTCGATTTATATATATTTATTAACAAAATATTTAATAATATTAGCATTAAAATTTGTATTTGAATAATTGGGAGGTTCTTTCAAAACATTATTTACCTTATTTTATGTAAAAAAAAAATTTAGAATATGAAAAAATAAATAACAAATAATTAGTATTATGTGTGCGCATATATAGTTAATTTCTAATAAAACTAATGATATATATATATATATATATATATATATATATATATATATATATATACACACACACACACACACACACACACACACACATAACGATTCGAGTATATAGAATAAATAAAAAAATATACAAAAAAAACCCACGTAAATTGTATGAAATATATTGAAGTTAATAGATTAAAATAAAAACTATAATAAAAATTGGTTCTAATAAATTCTTAATAAATATATATATATAAAAGCAAATATATATATATACACACACACACACTTAACGATTTAGAGTATATAGAATAGAATAAATAAAAAAATATACAAAAAAATCCACCTAAATTATATGAAATATATTGAAATCGATAGATTAAAATAAAAACTACAACAAAATTGGTTCCGATAAATTTTGAATAAATATAGATAAAATAAAATAAAATAAAACTTGTGAATTTTTTAACTAATTATTATTTTTTAAAAAATATTGAGTCAAACTATCTAAAACATAAACACTCATTTAAAAATTATAAAAATAATTTATTGTATAAATTATAATATTATATTTTAAAAAATAAAACACCGATTTAAAAAACATAAAAATAATTTATCATATTAATTATAATAATAAAACGTTTGATGTTCTAAAATTTTATTCTAAAATTCATATATTAAAAAACCAAATTTATTAACTAATAAAATTATATCAAAAAATTAATTCGATGAGAATTTTAATAAGAAACAAATAATTGAAGAAATAAATTTTAAATAATAAGTGTAATATGATAAGATATATATGTTTAAACTAAAATTCTAAAAAATATCATATATATTTTATCATCTTCAAACCCTACGTAAAACTAAAAAAATAACGATTTATTTTTTATATTTTTAACATCTAATTTCTTGATAACATATATATATATATATATATATATATATATATATATATATATATATATATATATATATATATATATATATATATATTATTTCTTTTTGGACAATTTGTTTCTTGTCTATCACTTGACAATGTTTTTAATGCATTAGTTAATTTTATTTATTTATTTCTATAGTTAAAGCACATAATTTTTCTTATACTATAACGATTTCATTTAGTTTATCCTTATACTATTATTTTGATTTATTTATTTTTTTTTTGGCTCAATATATCTTTCAGTTAAGCAAATAATAAATCATAATTAGTTTAAGATGCATGACATCCTTGGCCTTTTTTTTTCTTCCTATATATATATATATGAAGAGGAGAAAAAAAAAGCCCAGACTCTACGTAGCTAGGACATGCATACATGAAGCAAAAAACAAAAAATGCACTTGGCCTTTTTTTTAAAAAAAAAACTCAAGGGAAAAAAAGAGCAAACCAAAAGAGTCAGGGTACAAGTAAATAAAACACTCGTTTAAATAGCTCAATTCTTTTAGTTTTCCTTATATAATAATAATCACCATGCGAAGCACCTAATAGAAAGGAAAAAGTTGAACTCGGGATGAAAGAGGGTTAGGGAAGAAATTTAACGAAAGCATGATTGTAAAGCATTAAATGCTACACCAAATCCATTAGCAAATGATGAAAAAGTGGCACCGCATAATTGGGAGAAAAGCCAAAAACGAGGGCAAACCCGTAACCTCGCACCAACACCTAATGGCAACAAAGAAATTAAGGTAAGAATGAGAGGGCATCGTCACATAGGGTGGGGTGAACATGCTATAAACAGCTTCACCCCACCTCTTTTACATTCTGTTTGGATAGAGTGAAAAGCTAGAGAGAGGAAATAAAAGTGTTGAGGAAAGAAATCTCTAATCCGTTTGGTTTTCAAAGGAAACCTATGGAATCAAAAAATAATAATAAACAAATTTAAAGGTGGTGGGATCCATTTTCCTCCTAAGATTGGGAGGAAAGTGGGAGAAAATCACGCCAAAACATAATAAAAATAAAGAATAGATGGTATTGTCATTTTTGTCCTTCATCTTCTACACCTCATCCATCTTATATAACTTTCTTCATTTCTACTATCCTTCTCTCTCTACAGTAACAAAACTCTCCATTTCTATCGATCTCGCACATCCAAGATTTCGACTTTAATAGGTAATTTAACACCGATTTGTTTTGGGTTTATATGTATACACTTTCTCTATTTCTCTATTTGCTTATTTTCCTTGTCTTATCCCCCTCATTGCCCACTTTGGATCCGTACATTCAACAAATTTTGACTACCGAATGTGCATTTTTTGATCTCTTCCTTGCCTCAAAATAGTCGATTCTTCTCCTAGGTAGCTTTCATTTTTTGTCCCTCATGCTTTAATCATTCTTCTTCTCTATTGTCTGTCTTTTCTTTTGCCTTGCTTTCCCTCCGAATTGTATAGTCGCCCTTCGGTTTATGCTTATTATTTGTTATTTTCTTTGATTTATTTGCTTAGATTGGTGTTATTTTGCCATTTCTTGTTCTTTGCCACCTCTACTATGTTTTTTATTATGGGTCTCTACCCTTCGGTATGCGCTTTGTTTATTCTCTTTTCTTTATCCTCTTTCTGCAGTTGGGTCAATGGCTCTTGTGTCGGTTGGAGTCGTGTTGTTTCTTTTCTATCTCAAGTTCACATATTTTATGTGTTAGATTGATCTTCATACTTAAAACAAAGATATCTTGATTGTCTTCTTTGTTTATGGTTGTATTACGTTAAACTTGCAAGAAAAGTGTCCGATGAAATGTCTCAAATAAAATTAATTATCCTATTGATTTAGTATGCCATACATAAGAGAGGTGCCCGATGAAATGTTTCATACAAAGTTGATAGTCCTATCATAGTTTTGCTGGGTTTTGTTGGATTTAGATATTGCTCATGGTTTATTAGATTGGATTCCTTGGTATAAGAAAAGCACATTCGGTTCTAGCAAAGAGCGAAAGACAGATTGAGTTATTTAGTCATTGCTTGGTTTGGTTTGCCACTCACTTCAAAGGTGTTTATTGATATGTTTGGAGCAAGCTTCACTGTCTTATAATTTAGTTCTTTATCCACGCTCTCTCTTTATAATCACGAGTTGTAGTAAAAATTTTAAAGCCCGAGGCCCAAGCTACTCGTCTTTGTTGTGCTCCTTATGTTTTCGAGCAACTAGATTATTATATTTGGAAAAAAAAAAGCATCCTATTTAATTTGATGCATTATTTTTCATATTTTTCCATATATGTTATTTCTACCTTTTCTTAGTGTTGCTCTCCCTTTTTCTCTATGCCTCCAAATCATGTTCTTTTTGTCCGTGTTGCATTTTTCTTATGCTTTCCCTTTTTAAACTTTCTTTTTCGGATAAGAGGTTTGTATTGCTCTATCCGGAGGCTTGTTTCGTTGCTTGGTTTCTCGCTCTTTAACTCATTAGTGCATTTTGTGTTCTTCTTTGTGCTCCTTTTGATATGTTTTTCTCGCTAGTTTCGTTATGCACGAATTTCTTATATTCTTTGTCATTTTTTTTTAAACACAATCTTGCTCCTATTAATACATTGCATGGCTATGCTTGGCAAAATTTATCATTGCATCACTATTATCATTGTTTGTGAGAGGTTGCATTCAAAAGTATGTAGTTGGTACATAGATCGATGCAAACAATTGTTTTTATATAATATTATGTTAGTTTGGGTTCAATTGGCTTGCAATCTTTATTTGTCTTGGAAGCTACCCGCTATGTCATTAAGCACCTTTTCTATCAAATAACACCTTCAAATACTATTATTGTATTTGCATTAAAAGTATTTACTCGTTCTTTGTTCGGTTATTGCTTTATACTTTTGTTTTTTATTTTTATTTTTTGCTTTTTCCGTGTGTTATTTTTCAGCCAAGTTATATATATATATATGTTTGATGGTTCACAATTTGGGTTGCTATATTAGCTACAATCAATTTGTCTCGTTTATTTTTTTAAATGTCAATATGATTTGTAAAATAGATTGCTTTGGATCAATCTTTTAAAATTCATTTGAATTGTTGATTCATTTGGTTTTATGAATATTCAATGCTAGATAGGAGAATAGCGAGTAGAGAGTTGTTAGTTGGTTTTGATTTATGATAAGACATATCTTCCGCATTCAAGAGAGGTAGGTTTTTTTATATCCGTGGCTATTAAAAGACTATATTTGTATTTGGAATCTATCTACATATATCATTTGATCCGTG